CTATCCAATGAATAGTCTAGTATGTGTGTCTTGAAGCACATGCATCCCATTCTACCGTATTCCTAAATGCAACATCTGGGTCATAGAATAATCAACTCCATTGGAGAACACCAAACATCACATTCTTATAGAAGTTCATACTGCTGTAAGACAAGTGCTTGCTTAGAAAGGTGGTAAAATGTATCAGTGTTATTTATACATTTAGAGCTCGTAGTACCAGTTCTTTTGTAGCTCAGAAAGACTAGGAGTTTTCTTTTGCAGGAAGATTTGTTTCTCACGTGTTTCAAGTTGGCTTCTTTTGTGGTAAAGCTTGAAGAAAACAAACTCTGTACCAGTAGATACAGAAGACTGTTACATCTCAGAGCAAAGGACTGCTGCCAATGGTTGATGTTTGCCATCAGAGAAAAAGACTGCTAAGAGTGTGAAGTCTAGAGTTACACTGAGTCTGAATCCTTGCTTTGCACTTTCTAGTTAGATGACTCCTGACCAAATTATTTTGCCTCTGTGGTCCTTAGCTGGCTTATCTATAAAATGAGAATAATAATGCTACCTGGCTGTGGAGATCAAATGAAGCAATATAAGGAAAGTACATAGAGCAGTGTCTAGCATTCTAGTGTGGTGATTTGTATTTGTTTCAGAGGTTATAAACATAAGCTATGAATATGAATCAGAGAAATCTGGGTCCTGGCTATCTTCTCTCCTATGACTATGGTCCAGTGATATAACCTCCCTGCATCTCAGTTCCAAAATTGGGATAAAAAACTGCTATGAGCTGGGCGCTGGTGGCTCAATGCCTGAAATCCTAGCTACTCAGGAGGCTGAGATCTGAGCATCGTGGTTCAAAGCCACCTGGGGCAGGAAGTCCGGTGAGACTCTTATCTCCAATAAACCACTAGAAAACCGGAAGTGGCGATGTGGCTCACGTGGGGTAGAGCACTTGCCTTGAGCTGAAGAACACAAGGACAGAGCCCAAGCTGAGTTCTAGCCCCATGACCGACAAAAAAACAAAAAATAAAAACAAAAAAACCACACAAAAAAACCAACTCAAAACAAAACTGCTATGATAACTGTACATCACCTTTGTAATAACAATTTAAAAAAGAGACAACAACAAACCTGCTATGAGCTGGGTGCTGGTGGCTTATGCCTATAACTCTAGCTATTCAGGAGACTGAGTTCTGAGAATCATGGTTGGAAGCCAGCCTAAGCAGACAAATCTAAGACATGCTTAATTCCAATTAACCACCAAAAAGAAGAAGTGGAGCTATAGCTCAAGTGATAAGAGTCCAAGCCCCAGAACCTGCATACACACACACACATACACACATCCCACACACAAAGAGAGAGAGAAAGAAAAAGAAGACCACACCCTCACACACTAATGGTTCATGCCTATAATGACTACTCAGAAGGCTGAAGTTGAGGATCAAGTTTCAAAGCTAGTCCAGGCAGAGAAGTCTGTGATACTCTCATTTCCAATTAATTACCAAAAAAAAAGAAGCAGAGCTATAGCTCAAGTTGTAGAGTACTAGCCTTAAGCAAAAAAGGCTCAGGGACAGTACCCTCAGTTTAAGTCCCAGTACGGACACAAACAAAAGAACAACAACAACAAAACGCTATGAATTTAATATATGGTGGTATGGTGGCTACCATATTTTATTTTACCTTTTTTTTGGGGGGGGGGCAGTTGGGGCACCTGAACTCAGGGCATGGGTGCTGTCCCTTACTTTATTTGTTCAAGGCTGGTACTTTAATACTACCTGAGCCACAACTCCACTTCTGGCTCTTTTTTTGCTGGCTAATTGGAGATGAGAATCTCATAGGGGTAGGAATGTGGATTGGTGGCAGAGTGCTTGCCTAGCATGCATGAAGCCCGGGTTTGATTCCTCAGTACCACATGAACAGAAAAAGCTGGAAGTGGTGCTGTGGCTCAAGTGGTACAGAGCTAGCCTTGAGCAAAAGAAGCTCAGGAATAGTACCCAGGCCCTGAGTTCAAGCCTCAGGACTGGCAAAACAAAAACAAACAAAAAAAAGTCTCACAGACTTTGCTGCTTGGGCTAGTTCTGAGCTTTGATCCTTAGATCTCAGCCTCCTGAGTAGCTATAGTCACAGGCTTGAGCTACTGATGCCTGGTGTTGCTGTTATTTGAGAAAGCAGCAGCTTCTTTTCCTGTCCTCAGATGCTGGGGTTGAGCAGCTCACAGACTATTGTAGGTCCTAAGCATTAACCAATGGGGAGCTGAGAGTGAATCCTAGGTTAGAGGCATAGCAATGTCATTTTCCATTTATGTGCAGGTCCTAGTTACGATACCTTTAGCTGAATGACACTCAGCTATTTTCTAGGAACTCATATGGGTGGACATCATCAATAACATGATGCTGGTAACAGACTGAATATGGCACACATCTGTAGCAAGTATCCTGCTGAGCAGACTTTCCTGAGGAAAAGCATTTAAGAAAAAGACTTTTTTGTTGTTGTTGAGAGTCCTGGGGCTTGACTTCAGAACTCAGGGTGTGGACACTGTCCCTGAGCTTCTTTTGCTCGTCTAGTACTCTACCACTATAGCTACAGCACACTTCTGTTTTTGTTTGTTTGTTTATGTAATACTATTGAGGAATTGAACCCAGGGCTTCATACATGCTAGGCAAGCACTCTACCACTAAGCCACATTCCCCGCCCCAAGAAAAAAGTTTTAAAGAGTCAAGAAATGTGTAGGTTTGGTGTACACAACTGTAATCTGTTATGTGGGAGGCAAAGGTAGAAGGATGAACCTCTGTAGCTACTATAGCAACAGCATAAGACACTGTCCAAAAACAACTAAAGCAACAGAAACATGCAGGGGGTCTGGTTCACATGGCAGATAGCAAGTTTGCTCTGTGGGAGGCCCACAGTTCAAACTCTAGTATTGAGGAAAAAAAAAAAACCCCAAACCGAAAAAAAACCTGTAAATGTGTAAATGGGAGAAGTTAGAGAAAATACTTGTTGGGTAAGTTATAACATCCCATGAAGAGTTTTGAATTCCAGGAATTTTTCTTTAATTTAGTAAAGAAGAATGAGGAGATACTGTATTGCTAGGTAGAACTGGAGTCTGAAACCTATGGTCTAGGTAAATACTGGCTGAAAAATCTTATTGGCTAGCTGGCACTGCATTCGGACTTCTGATACTTTTAGAAGGTGATATTAATATTTGGAATTAGTACAGTTTTAATGTTTCAAATATATTTCCCCCAAATCACTGTAAAGTGGGTGGGGTTATTAATGTGAGCCTGCATCATTTATTATTATTGTCATTTATTATCATTTACTATTGTCTATGACCTAGAGATAAAATACACTTGTGCTTGAGTGTGGTGGACAGCTAAACAGGTGAGAACATTGTGTAGAACGAAACATAGACACACACAAGTACAAGCAGACTGGAAAAATCTGAGTAAGATGGGTGTGTGTGTGTCTTATCAATGCCAATATCCAGATTGTGATGTGATTTGGGAAAACATGGAGTAGGGGAGACCTGGGCAAAGTGAACAAAAGAGTTCTCTATATTCCTTTAAAACTACATGTGGCTCTTGAATCACCTCGCCATAAACCTAAGTTAAAAATAAATACATTAGTAAAAGTTCTGTTTTACTAGCTTTCCTGAGTTGTCCATAACTTGGGGATTTCTTGGGCACAAAACTAGCGCCATTGTTTATCCACGGCCCCTTCAGCACGAGAGAGTCGAGCCCTAGAAGGAGCGATGTCCATTGTGCAGAAGTCGTGGCCACTTTGCAGTATTACTGCAGATTACAATGATCCAAAACTTGAGATAGTTCACAGCAAGTCAACTTCACCGGTTTCAGGTTTACCGAGGCAGCAACGTCACTCCCACGGCAGAGTTCAGATGACTCTGTGATTATTGAGATGGACTTGGTGCACAAAGAGATCCGGGTGGCTGAAGTTGCCGGATGCGATGTTTTACAGCAGAGGAAGTTTTCGCTCAAGCCATTACTTCTGAAAAGTCCAGTCGGCTGGGATGAGTGAACTTAATTCCTGCAGTGACTGAAGATCCTGCGGGCAGGAGGAGAGTTACTAACCCTAATTACCCTTCTCTGCCACGCTAGGTCTTCTCGGCTGCAACACAGACTTCGGGCTGCGCGAGAACTTTTCCTAAAGTGAAAGGACGAGGGGAAGACATGGCCGGCTGGGAATGCGGCCCGGGAGAGGCGTCCGCCGCGCTCCGGATCCTCCACAATTTCCAGAAAAGAAACTTCTCTTCCTCACACTAGCGAGCCTGGGAGCCCTCCGCGGGCTGAGCTTCTGCCTCCCGGATGAGGGAAACTGAGGCACAGCAGGCCCAGGGTGCTCAGCTCGGGCCTCGGCTCCCCGGGAACTCCGGCCGCAGGCACCTCCGAACCCCTCCTGCGGCCGCTCGCCCCGCCCCATCCCCGGACAAAGCCCAGACCCGCGACTAGAGGGGGGGGAGGTGGGGGAGGGAAGTGGCTCCCGCGCGCGCTCCGCTCCCCCGTGGGCGCGAGATCCCGCCCGCCCACCCCTGTGGGGGAGCCCGCGCCCCAACGGCGAAGCGGCCCGGCTAGGCCCGCCCCGAATCCCCATGACGTCACCGGCGGAGATAGGCCACGCCCCGGCCTCGGGCGGCAGGCCGCATGACGTCACCGAGGCCCCACCCCTCCGGAGCGAGTTCGGTCCTGGCGTTCATTTCATTCCTGTCCTCATTCCGAACATTCTTAGCATCGCTCGCGCCGCGCCGCGCCGCACGAGCCGAGCCGAGCCTCTGCAGCCGCCGCCGCGGCCCCGCCGCCCGCCGCGGGCGCCCACCAAGCACTTTGCAGACTCGCTTCCACCCTGCGGGCCAGTCCGCGCGGCGGGGCCCGGACCCGGGGCGGCCGCGCCAGGGGACAGGCCATGCAGTGACGCCCCCCCCACCCCGTCCACCTTTGCCCCGAGCGCGGGCAGCAACCTTGCGCTTCCATCGGACCCCAGGGCAGGAGCGGTACTAGGCAGAAGTAGGGTGCCCCAGCCCGGGGACCGGGAGCCGGGCACCGAGAGCGGGCGGGGGGAAGCGGCCCCGAAGTTTGCCTCACTTGCCGGGCGCTGCGGCGGCTCCTGTGGCCGAGGTAAGTTGGCGCGCGGGGCGGATGCTGGGTGCGGAGGGCGCGCGGGGCGGCGGGCGGCCAGGATCCGGCAGTGTGTCCCGCGCGGGCCGCTCTTTTCTCTTCGGACTGTGCTTTGTGTGCAGCGGGCGGGCTCGGGAGGGCCGCCGCCGATTCCCCCTCAGCGCCTCCCCGCGCCCCTCCTAGGTGAGCGGCCCGGCGCCGCCTCACGAGTTGCCGGGACGCCAAGTTGGGCCGCGCGCCGGAGCCCGCGCGGCAACAGGCGGCCCCCGGCGGCGGCGGCGGCGGCGGCGGCGGCCGTGGAGGCGCCCGGCTCGCGGCGCCGCGCCCCCCGCGTGCCCCCTCTCCCGCCGCCCTACGCGCACCCTCGCACCCCCCGTACCCACACCCCTTACGGCGCTTTTCACTGTGTTCCTCGGGAAGCCAGAAGTTGGGCGCGAGCGCGGGCGGGGAGAGCTGCTGCCGCCGCCTCCGCCGCGGAGCTGGGACCGGACCCGCTCCCCTCCCCCCCGCCTCGCGCCATCCGGCCCCCCCCCCCTTCCGCGGAGCCGCGACCCTCCGAGACCTCCCGGGGTCCGCGCCGACGTGTGTTGCGGACCGGGGTCTCGCTTCTTTTCCTCAAAGATGAAAGAGGGCACGGTAGTCTTTGCCGCTTCTCCAGGATTCTGGCTGTTGCTGCTGCCGCCGGTTCATTGCACATTCAAGTGGAAAATTTTCAGGAGTCAGCAGAAACATTGTGTCCAAAAAAGACTGAGTCGCAATTACCACCAAAACCAGGAGGAGACTCTCCCTGGAAAACTTCCCTTCGGTAGGAAATACTGGGGGATTTGTTTGTTTATTTGGAAGAGAAAACGATCCCAAGGAGGAAAAGAAAATCTGGGTACACTTTAAGTCTTTGTTCGTACTAGCAACACTTGTTTTCAAAAGTCCGGAGGCCCGTTTTAAAGAAAGTGCAACTTCCACGAGTTTTTTTTTTAAGTGTATTTAAAAACAAAACAAAACACCCAATACTTTTAAAAGCAATTGAACACATTAAATAAGGGCTCACACCTCATTTACCTTCTTCTGAAAATAAAACCCAGATTTAAAAAATGTCCTCCATTTAAAAAATTATATTTCTTTTTAAAAGATTTATTTAAAGCTGAATGGTGTCACTGTATAAAAATATTTATGAAACAATGAAATAACAGCCACCAGCGTTGCTCCGGAGGCTTGTTAACTTCTTAGAAGCAAGTGGCTGCCTGTGATTTGCAGAAATGAAAATTGACCTCAGTGAGCACTGGAAACTTAAAGACAGAAGATATTCCAGGAATTGAGAACGTAAGAAGGCCTGGTTTAAAAACTGCTTTGGAAAGAGCCCAGGTCCTGGGACAGAAAGGTCTATGAAGCCTATCAGATTTCAAAATAGTGGAAAAAATATTTAAAATTTTACAAATATTGTAAAGGACAACCACATGTTTTGTTTGTTTGTTTGTTTTTCCCCTCCCCACCTATGCCTGGATTGTTTTTGGAAGTTTAGGGGATCTGTTTGCTTAGGATGTGCTGGGTGCCTGCAGGTGGTTACCGGGGTGGACAGATCCCATGACCCACCCAGAGCTGGGAGTCTGCGGTGAAACCGCTGGGTCTCTGGCCCTCGGGGCTTCTCTGGCCTGAATCGCTGTGGCAAGAATTGGGAAAGTCTCGTTTTTTTTGCGGGGTGTTTTAGCTTTTCACTGTTGAGTTTGTGCCTTTTTGTAAGTAGATTTGCAAGATCTTTGGGCCCAAGTACATTTGAATGCTTGTAAAGGCCAGACTATAGATCAACTTTGTTAATCTTTTCTTTTTAGAAGGAAATAGTATTAATTACTGAGGACTTTAGAAAGACAAATTAGTTGAACTTTTGTCAGCATAGGTTTTGAATTGTTGATTATTTTATGGAGAAAGGCTTTCCCCCCCCCAATCTTACTATTTCCATAAATGGTCACAGATATTTTTGTTTAGTATTTCTTTGTATGTGTAACTCTGCGTTGAACTCTCAGGTTTCAGATTGTCAACAGAGTTTACAATTGTTTTATTTGTTGTTGGTATAAAAAATGAACTGATAAGCTGTATCTATTACTGGGTTTTACTGATGTGGCAAGCAGACCATTTTTATTTTTACTTTAATGGTAAGTATTGTTTGATCTGCAGTTTTAGAGAAATATTAGAATGCCTTTTTTCCTTTAAGAGGGCAAAAAAAGTTTGGAACAAAACCAGTTGACACTTTGCTTTCACAAAAGAGTAAAAAAAAAAACAAAATTATAGGAAATACTCTTTGTGTAAATTCCTTCTCTGTGTGAGCCATTATAAAACGAAAGACAAGGAATGTGCCTGAGGGTTTTTTTTAATTGTTTTACTTTATATTTTTAAGTTTTCCCAAAACAAAAAACAACTCATCAGGACATCTGATTAATAAAATTTAATTCAAAGAAAATTTAATTCAAAGATTGAAGATAGCCTGGCTTAGTTTGAGCTAGACTGAAGTGATTCTGAGCTCTTTCTGGCACTGTGATACAGTGTGTGTACTTCTGGACAGTGGACCCCCACCCTTAGCAAACTAATGACACATGAGGGTGGGCTTGGGCTAGCCTTTTGAGGAGGGGTAGCTTCCTCCTCTCCCTGTTTCCTCTCATTAGCTATGTACAGTAGGACTTGTATATTCACGTACTTCCTTTGGAGAACTAGTGTCCCCTTTTATTTAGGAAGAGGACACATAAGCCATAAGGAAAAGGATGTTCTAGGTTTCTTTCTTTCTTTTTTCCCTGCTTGAGTTCCAGCAGTTTATAAACAATTTTGGGTTTTATTGGTTCTGAAAGTACACAGCACCAAGTATAGGAGAACATTTCTCAAAGGGGAAAACTTGGGGAGTAATATGCTTGTATTTTGTTGTCACCATTGGTGTCTAAAACCTTACTTGGCATAATTTCAGTGAAAAAATGTGTAACAGAGATGATTTAGAGAATATAGATCCCAAATCTCAAATAAAGATAGGCATTTGAAAAAAAGAGCTATGCCATTAGCAGTATTGGAGGGTTGCTTGCTTCAGGAATGGATTGATCTCTCATACATGGTGGTTGTACAAGTGCTTGTGCATTTGTGGAATTACTTTCCTCTCTATAATCTCATGTGTTATTATGTGTTTATTGTGAGTGTAATTATCCTGCTTGCCAATGGAAATTGTAATGTCTTATCAATCAAAAGGTCAGCACAAATAACTCTATATGATCTGGTACACTTAAAAAATGACCATATTCATGCATAGATAGTAGATCCCCAACACCTAAGCTTTCACTTTTGCCCCTTTGTTTTGTTCTCTACAAAAGAGATTGTGAAAAGAGAATATATATATACACACATATATGTATACATGTATATACATATACATATGTATGTATATACATATATATATATATATATATATAAAATGTAATTCCTTAATGAGAGCTATGTTCAAAGTAAAACTTTGAGGTTTTTTTTTTTTTTTTTTTTTGCCTCCCAAAGGTTTAAGAATACTGGCTAAAGCAACTGTCCGACTTTCTCTTTAAAACTACAAGACAACCAGCCATCCTTCTGTTAATCAATGTGGGCATTGCAGCTTCCCCTTTGAAGTTCAGTGACAGGATCTGCAGACTGCTAAATGTCCTACTTCTGGACACAACAAGAAAAATATATTGTATCCCCCTTTGACAAACTTAGTCTGTGCCCCTGGGCTGGTTGGGGCTGATGGCTGGTTGGTCTAATCCTTTGTAGTTTTTTCTTATTTTATCTGCAGAATGTGTAGATCACTGGGGTCTATTTAAATTAGATCTTAAATTGTGTGTGAACAATACCAATGATGTGTTTTATTCGTTCATATTTATCAAGGTGATAAAAATCTAGCAATTCTGATTGATGCTGGCACTTAATATTTGGGGGCTGGGCTTTTGTGCAGATAACCTAATTTAGACTGTGTTGTAATGTAACTATGGTATATCTGCAACAGGAATGTTCTGGCCCTTCTCTGTTGTCTGGGATAGAATGTGTAATAGATGCTTTGGGTCTAAATTTTGGAATGCTTTTGGGTGGGTTTTATTTTGTGAGTTTTGAAGCTGTGAACCATTGAGAGTCCTTATCTGTAAGATATCTCTATAAGTTTCCCTGACTTGTTATATTTTAATTTGGGGTTGATTTTCATCAGTTTCTTAAGAAATGTTCACACTTGTGGTGCAGAGTACTGAATTTTGAAATAGTTATTTTTATTTTAGCTAAAGCAAATGGGTGCCCTGGTTGAGGGGGTGTCAGGTCACTCTTTTCTACGGGGTAGATTTCTCTCTGCTCTGAAGTTCTCCTTTTGTTCATGGCTTTTGCATAGTTGGGAGGAGTCTCAAAAAATGATTTCCTAGTCTGGGAGTCCTGGGTAACCAAAATGTACCAGTCTTTATTCTGATTGAGTAATAGAAGGGGGGGGTCTTCCCAAAAGGCAGTCATTTTCTTTTTTTTTTTTTTTTTTGTGGCAGGTCAAAGCCCTCCCCCCCACCTTAAAACCAGTATTTACTATTTTGATGCAGGGCTTTCTACCCTTGTTCCAGGACTCACATTAGTTTTTGAGGCTCAGCCCTAGGATTTCATTAGCATTTGTATTTGGAAAGGACAGGGCCCTGGAAAAAGAGTTTAAAAGTAAAAGTTTACTTATTGATGAACAGGTTAAGTGTCCTTCATTTCCAGTGGGAAATTCTGATTACTTCTAGGAATCTGGCAGGTTTAGATGTATGTTTAAAGTAGCAGCAATCCTACAGAGACGAGTACCCAACAATGCTGAGTACTGTTTTTACTGATACATAAACTGAAAAAAAAAACTGCTGCTAATGGTGGGAAATGTTAATTACGTGAGAACATATTGAACTTATATTCTCTGGCATGAACTTTAAAAAAAATGCATCTACTGTGCTGCCTTTTTTTTTTTTATAGGCACAGCTTTCTAATTATCATAATTCAGTTCAGCTCTG